GGCGCATCCTCTGCCCCGCGGGATGCCCAGGGGAGCCGGCTCCGGGCCACTTTAACCTGTCCCAGATGTCCCGGAGCCGCGTCGCCGCCAGCACACGGGGACGTGCGTGCAGTTGGAGCCTGAGCTGCTCGTCATCGGCCGTCCGCAGACAGCCGGCTGGATGCCCTGGGAGGTGTCCGTCCGTGCCCGCCAGGCGCCGGGCGTGACGCCGGGCATGTACCAGTGTGGCCAGCTCCAAAAGGAGGGACAGACCAGCGTGCGGGGCGCGGCCATTGGGTGGCAGAGCGCAGCGTGTGATGTGTGCTCGCCCGTAGATGCACGGAAGCCGGCAGACCTGGCCCTGGTGGTGCTTCTGCGCAGGGGGCAGGGAGAGTGACTTCTTTTTGCTTCTCTTGTCCCGTATTTTGTAAACCGTGTGCAGTTATCACCTTTTAAAAATAACGAGAACGCATCATGTCCAGGCATGCTAGCTTAGAAATTTTGAGGCTCCAGAGTGTGTTCTATGACCTAGTTTCCCATGGATTCTGACGGGCCAGCTAGTGGAGAAGCCTTGATGGCGGCCAGTGTTCTCCATGAAGGAAAGAGGGCATATCGGTGTCTGAGGAATGTATTAGAAGTACTCATTTGACGCCCTCCCTGGTGATGCAGAGAGAGAAAGCACAGCACTGCTAGCTGGCTGCAGCCACTTCAGTGTGAGTGATCCGGCCTGGGAGCTGACCCACAGGGCGCGGCAGACCTCTCCTGGCCCGCCCGCTGCTCCCCTCAGCAGTGGACTTTGTCAGTTGGCCTGTCCTGTTTCCCATTCTGTCTCTGGTGAAGCCGTTCACCGCCCCTGCACCTCTGGCCTGTACCCCAGTTCACTGTGCATAAATACATCTTTAAAAGAAAAAAGAAAGGAAGAAAGAGCCCGTTTGGCCCAGCCCCAGTATCTGTTCTTTGAGACTGGGTCCTAGGTGGAAGTTTGACTCGCCCCCCCTTACCCCATTGTGCCCCCTTTATAAGACTCTTGTTTTAGGTAAATCAAATATGCAGCTGTAAGTAGTGCTTTTGGAAACTCACAAGCCTGACTGGTGCTGTGCCTTTTGCTGTTCTTAAAAGAATTATTTTCCTAGATGAAACAATATTACAGTTCCTGCCGCTACCAGGTGGGATCGCTCTTTCTGCGAGACTGAAAATGTAAATTAAATTTCAAAATGCACTTAGAAGAGAAATACTTGACTATGCTGAACATTTAATATGTGCCCAGCATTTCTGCAAATGCAGATCTCTCTGATGGATGGACAGAACAGATTGGTGCTATCATGAGAGCAGGTTGGTCTTGGAGAACTCCAGGAAATTGTTTCATTACAGTAACAATGATTTGGATCTCTCTTACTTGCAGAAGCCTCTTCAGCTCCTGAGAAAAAAAAGGAGAAGCCTCTTCCAAGACTTAATATCCATTCCGGATTCTGGATTCTGGCATCCATTGCTGTGACCTATTACGTTGATTTCTTTAAGACCATTAAAGAAAATTTCCACACCAGTAGGTAGGAAAACTTTATGGATTCAAAAGTTAAACACATGTGTCTGATTTTTCATGTTTTATTTCTTCTGTTGAATTCCTGAAACACTTAGCTGGCTCCTACTTGCTGCCACGCGGCATGTTGAAATGCTCACGAGGAGATATGCGGGGTGCACAGCCCTGGCGGGAGGAAGCAGAACGTTTCAGGGCCCGTTTGTAAAGGGGGGTGGGTGCAGGTGGGGCAGGGTGCTGGCTGACAGTGTTTGTGAGGAGTAGAGGGGAGGGACGACCCCTGTGGGGGGGGAGGTTCGGGGCACAGTTTGCTTTCAGGGTCTCCGCTCTGTGCCAACAACCTGACTGCTGTAACCCCAGACCCCCTCCCGCATAGGACACCAACCCCCAGACACGCAAAAGGCAGTGGGTAGGGGGTTGATAGGAAACTTCTTTCCCAGGTCTGGCTGAGCTGAGACCCGCGGGTACAAGGCCCACACGCACGCGTGGGCATCTGGCCGGAACTGGGAGGGAGGGAGGCTGTTGTCGCTTGGAGGAGGTTGGGAGGTCCTCTGACAGCGAGGGCATCGTTTAGAAAGCCTTTCCAGGACGCTGAGAGTGTCCGCACAGACTGCCCTTCCAGGATTCCAGCAGCCCAGCCTACCTCGGAGGAGTTCGTGGTGCCTGCCGGCAGCCTCCGTTGGTCTCACGCTCGATTCAGAGACCACCGAGGAGCTGCGCAGTGCCTGGGCGTTTGGGGGTCGCGGGCTGTGGCCAGGCCCTGCGTTGTGCCTGGTTTCCGGGTGTGCGTGGGCCTCACCTCCCTCCTTTACGCGGCTCAGCCTCAGCCTTTCTCCGGGTCTCCGCGGCCGAAGGCCTTCGGGGCTGCCGTCCTCCGTAGAAATGGCACGCCGAGGTTGTCCGCGACGCCGACCCCACGCCAGCCCGTGCGCCGCGGCTGCTCACCTGCCGCCGTTTTGTCTCCGCAGCTGGTTTCTCTGCGGCGGCGCCTTGTTGCTGCTCAGCGTGTGCATCGCCTTCTACTGCGTCCTCTACCTGGAGTGGTACCGCGGGGTCACAGACTACGACGTCAAGTATCCAGCCTTGATACCCCTCACAACTGCGGCTTTCCTCGTAGCAGGAATTTGGTGAGTTAACTGTGAAGCGATGACAGGGACAAAAAAAAAAGCTGTGACCGGGTGACGATGGTGCGGCCCACGCTTCAGAGGGAGAGAGGAGGAGGACGGCCTGTCCCTGCCTGTCCAGCCTCCGCTCCCCCTTCAGTCGCGCCTTCCCGATGTCGCAGCTACTGAAAACAGTGGTCGGGCCCGTGGGACATCTGATGCCCCCGTGGCTAAAATATGCTCAGTCGCACAGCTGGGTGAGTTTTCATAAAATGGGCATCGGCGTCAACTGCCAGGCCAGGGAAGAGCCCGCAGCCGCTTCGTGCGCCCCTGGTCTCCACCCCTCACTCCCTGCCCCCAGGTGAACCCCGCTCCAGCCCCCAGGGCAGGGGCTTTCCTTGCCATCTCAAGTAGCCTCACTATGTTTCATCCGTTTTCCTTGACCACTGGACACGGTATCCTTCAGCGTGGCTGCAGGCAGGCTGGTGGCTGGTGCACGCGTGACAGGTGTCCCGCGTTGTGCACAGCAGCGTCCATCTTCTTTCCAGCTTCAACGTGGCCTTGTGGCACGTGTGGTCGTTGTTCACCCCTCTGCTGCTGTTCACCCAGTTCATGGGGGTTGTGATGTTGATCTCCCTCCTCGGGTGACCTCTGAAGGTAAGGTGTCCAGGGCAATACTCCGCAGTGACCGCGCTCCAAGGTTTCGGGGCGCAGCAGGAGTTCTGAGGGCCGTTTCTCACCGCGTTGCCCCCCCACAGAGCCCTCCGCTGCAGGGCTGACACCCTCCCCTTTCGCGTGGCTCCGTGCTGGGTGGCGCCTCAGCGGTGGCGCCTGGCCCTGCCTCTGCGCCAGGACCACGCCGAGGTTGGCATGCTCACGCCTGGGCTTGGGCTCGCTGCGGTGCGGAGCCGGCGTGGGCCGGGCTGACGGTCAGCGCCTCCCTCCGTGCTTTCTTGCAGGTGGAGGCCCGCTGGTCACAGCGAATGGCGGGCAGCAGCCAGCCGGCGGCCTGGGCGCGTGCAAGGAAGGGATGGAAAAGCGGCTGTGTTTGCACCTGCACGTGAATGGTTTTCTCGGAAAAACTGTGACTTCATATATCTGGTTGAAATCAGAATAAATAAACTTGCATTTGCTTAAGCACAAATGATTATTGAACTTTTCAGACTCAAGGGAGAAATAATTCTGTTCAGAATCAAAGTGACTGATTTGCATCGTTAATATTTGACTGTCAGAGAAAGTATCGCGTAAACATGTCATGTGAACAGTCTGGTGCAAGAGGCTCCACACCAGGGCCACGTTGCTGATGCATTTGAGGGGTGCCGGTTCCTGGTGCGTACAGAGTGGGGTGTCCTGGGCCTTAAGCCCCCTCGGCACGGGTGTCCTCAGGCACAGCCCCTCCCCTTAGGCGGGCGGGCCAGCGAGAGCGTGCGGCTTCCCGCGGGCTTTAGCTAATTTACTGGGCTCTCAGCCTTTGACTAACATACGATCTTTCCATCGTTTAAATCGTGTAATTTTTTCCTTGACACTTAAATAAAACAGTTTTATAACGTTTTTGTGCGTCTTGTTCATTCAGACTCTGAAATAGTCTGTTTTCACGTCTAGCTCTTGGCTTCAGCTCTGGAAATAGGCTCCTGTCAGAGACGTGTCCTGACACGTGAGACGGGGCCGGCTCACGGCCGTGCACCCAGGGTGCCGCACGCCGCCTGGGAGTCTGTCCACATTTGGGGGGACGCTGAGGCTCATGCAGAAGGATGTGTGGAGGACCGGGCCCGGGGTGTGGGAGGGTGCTGGGGAGGACCCAGCCCGGGGTGCAGGGGGGTGGGGGTGAGGACTGGGCCTGGGGTGCAGGAGGGCGGGGCGTGGTGCCGAGCCCGCGGCAATGCAGGAGCACTGGGGTGGGGCTCTGCCGGCAGCTGCTTCCCAGTAATGACCCTACGCCAGGATGGGGAGACATGTTTGAGGGACCCGGCCACGCCGTCACAGCTCCTCAGTACTCTGGCTGAAGCGTGACTGTCTCAGGCACCAAGTATCTGGCAGGCACTTTCCATAGTGTTTCATACAGAGCAACTCATTTATGCCCCTAGAAACTTGTAGAATGGCTAATGGGGGCACAGGGAGGTTGAGTGACTTGTCCAGGGTCACACAGCATTAAGTGACGAAGCCAGGAAGCACCCTGCCAGCTTGGCTTTAGAATCCCCCCCCCCCCCCCCAGTGCTGCCTTCCGGACAAAGGCACCCTGGCTCTGACGCCATGTGTGTTCTGTAAAAAGGTCAACTGACACATATGCCGAGGTGGCGTTCAGAGGCCCGAGGCATGCCTGGAGCCCTGCCATCCTCTCCCCTCCCCGTCTCCACCCCCACTCTTTGGCATTTCTTGCAAACCACGGGCTCTATCCCGTCCACAGGCCTGGCGCCGGCCCTGGTCTCTAGTGGCGCAGGCTGGGTGTTGGACCACGGGATGACCGGGCATGGTGTTGCCTGTTGGGAGCTCCAGCTCACAAGGCCAGTTCCAAAGCAGGTGGCGACGTGGGGGGCACCATGAACACGTCTGTCTTAGCTTCCTGATAAAGGCCACAGGCAGGGGACTTCAAACAGCCGGAAGGATGCTCTCCAGGTCGAGGCGCAAGGCTGAGGTCCCCGTGGGCGGGGCTGGAGCCTGTCCAGGGGCCTGGGTGGCCCTGGTTTGCAGAGGACTTTCCTGGACCTTCACTCATCCTCCTGTGTGTCAGAGTCCCGCGGCTGCAAGGCACAGTCATGTTGGGTAGGACCCACCTCTACTGGCCGTCTGCGAAGACCCGGTTTCCGGCTCCGGTACGGTCCCAGTGCTGGGGCTGAGGCATCGGAGCACAGTTCGGCACGTATTTATGGAGCACCCCGAGTGCTGGACACCACTGCTGCTGCCGCGTGCTGGATGGACAGCAGTGGACAAGAGGCCGGTCACTGGGAGAGACAGCCAGGGTACCGCACCCATCTGAGAGCAACGGTTACCCCCAGAGTCACCTGACTGTGCCGCTGGAAGCCAGGTCGGGCCAGCGCACAGCGGGAAGGGCGCCCACACCTGCTCAGGAGGCGCCTCCCGCAGCACCCCCATGCCTGCACCGCGAACCTGCTTTCCTTACTGAGCGTCCCCCTGGCTGGAGCCGGGGGTGCCCAGCCGAAGGGCCCGCTCAGTTGGCTCAGTTCTTGGCTGGACACACTCGCAGTCACGCCTGCCCGGGCACCTTCCGCTTCCTGCGTGTGGTAGACCCGCCGCCTCACGGGCTCCTTCCACGGGTGTGAACTCAGGCGGGGCTGACTCCCAGGAACTCCGCACCCTTCCTGGCAGGGTTGGGGCTCAGGTGAGCCTCTCCAAGCCACCCCGGCCCCAACATCTCCCCACTCAGAGCTGCGTCTTGGGGTCGATACTCCCCAGAGTCCCAACGAGTTCTCATAGACTCCCGGCCACTGAATGTGTCTCCATTGCAGTGGCAACCCAGGGCAGCCCTAAACGGGAGACTCAGTGCCAGAAGGGGCCGGGCGAACGCTTCCGTGCTGGGTGAGTGAGTGCCCGAGTGAACGCGTGAGAAAGAGGAAGGCCGGCAAGCCAGGTGGTCTCCCCGCCCAGGCTCCTTGCAGCCAGGAGCCAGGCAGTCAGAACTGTCCTATGCGTGACCTGGGGCCACAGGACCAGGGGCTGAGCTTACCCGGTGAGTACCGGGGAGCTCCATCACAGCAGCCTCTGCCTGTCTGCCACCCCAGGGTTCCCTCCAACTCCCCCTCCCTGGGCCCTCCCTGCCAGGCAGCCCTTAGGCTCCATTCAGTCTCTTGGGGGAGGGGCCTCCTCTTAGGCCTCCAGGCAGCACCCTGTTGGACCTCCCCCCCACTCTTCCAGGCCACAGGCTAGCTCTGCCCCAGACTCAGCTGCCCACTCCTTGCGCACAGGGAGTGGTAACATTTTTTCTCTAAAAGTGCTTCATTTTATTCGGCATCTGGGCATCTCCGGACAGAAACACTGAAAACACCAGACAGACACCTAGGTCGCCCAGCTCCTCCCCCTGCTTACAGATCTAAGGAGCTGAGCTTCACCCCTCCCCGCCCCCCAGTCCAGCCAGACACCCAGACGCACCGAGAAAACTCAGGGGGTGGACAGAGACCGGCGCACACCCCAGGGACAGTCCCGGGCTCACCCCCATCTCTGCCCCAGCCGCTCAGGGGCAGTCCGCTCCCTCGCTCGCTCGCTCCCGGCGCCGGCCGACCGCAGCCACGCCTCCCCGCCCACTCCCTCGGGCTGGCAAGGGCGGCGACCCCTAGCTCCCCACCTCCGAGCCCAGCCAGCGGGGAGGGGCGTCTCCGAGTCAGGGCTTCGGGCTGGGCAGGCCGGTCC